CTCTTCCCGTGTTATGTAGCAAAACGCTAGACGTTGAACTATAAATTATCTTTTTCAGGTCAACTTAATGACCAAGTCGAAGTGAGCACAGTGAGGGGATGGGGCTGCTTACCAGGGAACGCAGCACTGCAGCACCGCTTGGGCTCCAGGCCGGAGCAGTGACTCTGCTATGCAGAGGGGACCCTCTGTGAAACAGGACTCCAAGGCTCAAAGCAAGCACAGAGGTCCAGAGTGCCCTGAGCTGCTCCAGGACACCAAACCAACTCAAGAACTTCTTTTGAGGACCTTCCCTCATCCTTCCTTACACCTCCAATGGTTCAGACCAACAGAGACTCACCAGCGGACGCTGTCTCTGGCTTGGAGAGAGACTCCTCCGAGGTGGGCTCTGCCAGCAGGGTCATCGACTGCTTGGCCTCATCCATTTCATCGTCCTCTGGGATCACCAGCTTCATCAGGCTCTGGTTGCACACGTTTGCCACCTCCTTGATGTCTGAGTGGAGGCAGTGTAAGGAACACGCAGTTCCAGCACATGGCTAGATGCCACATCTGACCAGGCGTGGAGAAGCCACCGCAGCCCCACCAGGGCTGCCCCAGCCCAGCTACTGCAACCCCCCTCACATCCAAAGGACCAGTGTGGGTTTAGGACTTGGTAGGAGGACCCACACCCCAGGGGCAGGAAGCAGGCGCTTCCCTGTGGGCTACTGCGGCAGGAATGGGAGCAGCTCCAAGTTACAAGGATACTCTTCTTGCGATCATCGTAGGAGAGACATGGCAGCACAGCTGTCAGGATCCCTGAGGAGTAAGGCAGCATCACCCGGCCGGCCAGCTGGATGAACTCCCTCATCCAGCACATGGCCGTCAGCTGGATCAGGTCATCTGGAAGACACAGGACAAGCAGAGGTGAGGGAGAGGACAGCACTGGCAGCTGAGCAAGCTCCACAGGGCAAGGACTGCCTGGAAGCACAGAGCTGCCTCTGCTCCATCCAGAGTTGCAGCCAGACCCCAGTCTGGGACAGTGTAGTCCCAGAGGAGATAGATAATCTGAATCTGCAGTGAGGTTGAGTTTAAACACAACCATTAGGTTTCAGAGTTAACACGGTTCAATCCACAATCCAGTTTTCCACCTTCACAAACATTCGGTCAAACTTCCCAGTACATAAGGGTATCTCCTCTGTCACGTCCACAGTGGTTGTGCAGCATTTCAAGAGCAGTTTACGCTCAGTAAGTGCTGTACCTCACAGCAGACCCACAGGAGCTACAGTGCAGCATTAACACAAAGTACCTGGCACATCACATTTAACTGTCCTGCCAACGCACCCAGTGCCATCAGAGCTTAAAATAAGCCTCTAAGGAGATTCTTCTATATATGCTGGATATCCACAGGTGCCCTCCACAGCCACTCCTGGCCTGAATCTATGGCTGGGAACCCAGACCTATACCCACGGGCCCCCCCCCCAGCCACTCCTGGCCTGAATCTATGGCTGGCACCGCAGACCTGGAGGCGGATGCTACAGCTCAGCCCTGTGCACTCACCCGCTGCCTGGCAGTGGATCACCAGGATATTGGCCATTTCTGCAAATTTGACGCTGGAGGGGTTCTTCTTGATCTCCTTGAGGAACTCGCCAAGAGCCACCTCGCACCTGCAGAGAGGCAGAGCAGTCGGTCAGCGCTCCGACACCTCGGATGCACAAGTTATGGAGACCTCCCATAGCCTCCTACCTGCACACAGAGCTAGGATGCTGGTGGCACGGCACGCGTGCCTGCACACGGGGACAGGGCCAGGAAGGACAAGGCTGACAAACTTGTCCTGCCCCAAGGCAGAGACTCCACACAGCTGTGAGGATGGAGGTCCCAGTGCCCAGAGCACCCCCTGCACCTTCCCGCAACCACCCGAACGGCCACAGGGGCTCTGCTGAGCCTGAGCTGTGCTGGGGATGGGGAGCACAGAGGGGAGGAGCAGGGTGGGGGCTGATGAACCCTGGAGCTTTCAGTGCTTGTTCCTCAAGGTGTGCACAGTGGGAAACACTGAGGATCCAGTAGGGCTCAGCAGTGGGATGGAACCAGGCCAGTCTCACCACCCACTCGTACCCTACAAAACAGGTCCAGTTACTCTCCCAGTACAAGGAGTAACGATCCTCTGACCTCCTCGAGAGCACCCAGCCAACTCCTGCGCTTCAAAGTGCCTCTGCTTTGAGGCCAGCACACATCTGAGGAGCAAGCTCACAATGTTTGCTTCTTTTCTCCACCCAGGAGATGCTGGGTTGGTGCTCGACCTTGCTGAGAGAGGCTTGCATGCTGCAAGCTCATTCAGAGCTCATACCCCATCCTAGCAGAGCCTCTGCAGCTTTGATATTGGGTGCAAAGGCCGGGAAGGCAACACCCTCAACTAAGCCAAAACAGTTTGCTCCCCAGCACAGACCATGGTATCCTCCACAGCCGCTCCAGCCACAACAAACTGGGGCAGCAAGGCCTTTGCCAAGGACACTTTTCTCCACTGACCAGGCCAGCTAGACTGCTCCATCTCCCACCATGCACAAAGGGTTTCGCTGCAGTTACACAGAAGAGATGCAAACAAATGAAGAGGGTGGCAGACAGTGAGCAAGACACAGCCCTCTCACCCAGCCACTCACATTTTCCGTATCTCCTTGCTGTTGTCTCCCAGGATCTGGAAGAGCCCATCCAGGATTTCTGGCAGGTAATCCAAGAGGTTGATGTCAGGCACAGACTCTAAGACCAGGATCTAGCTCAGGGGAGGAAAAACCACAAGAGGTGAGTTTCGGAGAAGCGAACTAACATCACCAGCACAAATCTGGCACAACAGTGAGGAATTCAGAGCCGAGCACGGCCGCCTGTGTGGGATGGGAGGAGAAGGACAAGACGACAGCGTGGAGCTGCCCATCTTGGAGCAAAGACAGAGCAACATCCCTCCATCCCAGTGTTGGAAAGCAGCCTGGCACTGTCCCTGGGAGACTGTAACCTCCAGACCACAGTATATCTGTTTATATAAGCAACACTTTGACTGTACTTTCTAACTTAGTGTGTAAAGTTGGCAAAAGTGCAGCATGATGTTCCCGCAACTGCAACAGCGAAGTGGCAGGGAGCTGCGGTTTTAAAGAAGCAGGCGAAAAACTCTGCTGGCTTAAAAAACCTGCCCAAGTAAACTCAGCTGCCTGAACTCACACATTGCTGCGGACATTTGCTGTTCATCCAGACACGGGGTGCTGACAGATCACGGTATTTTGGAGCGTGAACGGGCAGACACGCGTGTGGCCACGCGCACCTACCCAGGATATGATGAACTGGCGGGCGTACTGGTTGTTGGAGTAAATCCTCTCACGCAGCAGCGGGATGAAGCCTACCAAGTCAAACTGGTTGCTCTCTGTCACGATATCCTGCAGAGCCCAAGCAGAGGGTGTTAGGAGGGGTGGCCACCACCCCACGCCCACACAGCCACCCTCACCCAGCCTTTTTTAATGCACATGACAGGAAAAAGATGACAAGCAGTTGATGCACGGATCTGTGGGTCAGGAGTCCTGGGGAGAAGGAATCATGAGGTCTGTTCAGGGGATGAGCCAGAAATCCCCCTCGGGCAGGGACTAATGCTGAGCAGGAACCCAGAGAGGGAGGCTCCCGCCTGCTGTGTGCCAGCCTGGCCGAACAGGAGGAGGTCTCCTCAGTGGTGTGCTGCACACATGAGCGAGCACCTCTGATATAAGCACATGTGTCAGGGGTGGGAGAGTCCCCTGGCTTTCCTTTAAAGCTCTTCCTACACGCTTGACAGATCTTGCTGCACGGCTCAGCCTCTCACACCAGCGCGGTGGAGCAGATCTCCCAGCAGGGAGGCTTGCAGCAGGCAGCGAGGAGACTGCATTAACTGCTGTGTGCTAACGAGGAGGAGCGGGGGGCAGGACCTGGCAGGGAGCCACTCACCTCTGGGTAGCAGAAAAGGAACTGGGAGATGTGTGAGAGTAAAAGCCCATCGGCAGGAAGAACAGGAACAGGAACCAACTTCCCCACCCTGAAGCAGCAGAGCAGCTCCTCTCACACTGCTACTCACTCAGCCAAGGAGGAGAAGCAGAGGAGCAGCCCTTCTGCTGCCTGGGATGGGCTGCAACCCTACTTGGACTAAAACCTTGCTTCCCCAAATGTCTGGGTGCCAAGAGCTGAACACACATGTGGCACTGCGATAACCTATCAGCCCCTCAGCCCAGCTGCCTGAGAGCACCACCAGACCCTCAACCTAAGAGGCTACGGTTGGTGAGAGAAGAGAATGTTTTGATAGTGGCCACAGGACTGAGCTGAGATGGTTTCAGCAGCTACAGCCTTGGAGAGTGACACATCCCCAGTCACGACATGCCCACTGCCTGCACGAAGGATTCTCTGCTGAAGGGGGAAAAATACCTTGAGAAGCCGATCGAGGAGCTCAGAGCCGCTTTTGACGTTCGGGTCGGGATCAGCAGCCAGCTGTGAACGACACAAACAAGAGCTGTTGCAGCAGTGGGGCCCACGTCTGCTCCCTGCTCTGCAGTGATGCTCCCCGCAGGCTCCTGGGACTGGTGCTCTCCTTTGGCATTACAGGAACGGACACAAAGGAGTTCCTTTATCTCCAACTGCTTGTTAGGCTCCAACAAATTCCCCAGAGGGACTTCCTAAGGGGGATATCAAGCACCACCACCTCCCCCAGCTACGCCGGTTTTGATGGGCCAGCAGCCATGCTCTCAAGGAGCACAGAAATACAAGTTTCCAGTGCAAAGCTGCAAAGACAGGCACATGAAGATGTGGTTTTAACCCTAGAGCCCCCACAAAGCCGTAGTGCTGCAGAGCCACCTTGCCTGCAATTCTGTCAGCCTCATTTCCTAATACTGTTCAACAAGAAGCAGGAAAATAAAGACAACCTTGGACAGCTTGGCTGGTTTGACTCGGAAAAGGCGAGGACTAAAGAGCAAGTCTTACTTCTCCAGCATGAGAAAGAAAAACAGATGGGGGTTGAGAGGAAGCTTCTTACCTTGCTGAGGCCGTCAAAGAGCACATTGAAGTGTGGGAGGACGGAGCCCCTGGCCACCTTGACAATGTTATAGAGCGCCTCGCAAGCGTAGTACCGCAGCCGACTGTCGGCATCGTTGAAACACGTCAGCACCGGCTCGATCAGCTCCTTCAGGTAGAGCCCAGAGTCCTGGGGACAGAGGAGGGTGGTCAGCTGAGCACCGCGCTGCAGGGAAAGGGAGGAGATGGCGCTGCTCTGGAACCTACTACAAAAATTCAGGTCCGTGATGGCTTCGTTCACCTATACTGGACAGGATTTATTCACGACTTTTGAATTTTATTATTGAAATTACTGGATTTTATTATTTATAGTCACCTGAGCAAGCTCAGAAATTGTTTCAAGGGAGTCTACACCAGTAACTGAAGCAATTTCTGCAGCTGTACTTGGCTGGTTTTGATTCCCAAAGATGAGCAAGAAACTTGGGCAGGTATTCACCACTCACACTGAGAACCTTCCGAAGGAAGAGGGGCTGCCTCCTGGGCACTCCATTCATCTCTGCCTGGAGACCACAGAGAAATCCGTCTCTGCCTCCCTCTGCCCTGCAGCCGGGGGATGAGGCAGATCCCCAGCAAAGCCAGCGGTCACCAGCCCCCAGCCAGGATTTATCCCACCCCACCAGGGGTCTCTGCAGAAATCCACCGAGGCTTCCAGGACCAGGGAGAACATCCCAGACAGCAAAGGTGGTCTTGGTCTGTTGGGCTCTGTGTAATGTCAGGAGCTGGGGATCGTGGAGGAGCTGGTGACACAGGCTTCACAAAAGCCAGACAACCAGCAGTCCCCAAAGCACCGTCCTGCCCTGTTGTCAAAAGCCCCGCCCTCCCCGTTTGTCCCCAGAAGCACCGACTGAACAGTGGTCCCAGCCACCAGAAGAGAAGCAGCTTCAGCCTGTGCAGCTGTTTATGGACAAGGATTTAAGGTGGACACATGATATGACTGTGGGGCTCCGATTCCCAGGTGAGATTCATTTTAGACACTGAAGTCTGTCCTCCTGCGCCATGGGAAAGCCACACTAGGCTGACCTTGACTCTGCCCACAAGCAAATATATCTGATAACAAGGTCTCCTCCCCAGCCAGAAGGCTTTTGTTTAAGGATTCACTGACACAACAGCAGAACCTTCAGACAAAACCAGAGGTAGAGGCAGAACGTTGATTTTGTTTAAGGATTCACTGACACAACAGCAGGACCTTCAGACAAAACCAGAGGTGGAGGCAGAACGTTGGCTTGTTTTGAGGTTAAAAACCCCCTGCTTTGGGAAAAAAGACTGGTACTTCCCAAGCATCTAGAGCAGGAGATAGCAAGTAAATCAACAACGCGCAGACTAGCAGAACAAAAAGTTCAACTCCCAAGTATTTCCAAGGCCCCTCAAGGCCAGCAAAAGCAACTCCTCCGTCCCCAGAGCAGCTCTGGCAGCAGGGAGTGCCTGTCCCTGCACTGTGCAGGAGCACAAGGTGGGTTACATGCCCAGGCTGAGGCAGAGCAGAGCACTGCTCATTCCAGAGGGGAATGTTTTGCAAAGAGCCTCTGCACTTTAGCAAGAGGACAAAGATGGGAATGATGCTCAGAAGCCCTCGGCCACCAGTGTAAAAGCCATCAGGCTTGAAAGCATCTTCTCAGACCGATCAGGACTGTCATTAGAAGGGGAATAAATGAATTTAAATCTACCTCATAGCTCTTCTAACAAGCACAGCTTGCTCTTGCCCAAGCCCTCTGCTTTCTTTGACGCTTACTATGGACCAAAACAACTCCTTTCCTTGCAGGCACTATCAAAAACCAGCCATGTGGTTTGGTTCAAAAAGCCCAACGGAGCCGTGAGCCTGCAGAGTCCATGTTCCCCTCCATGGGGACCTGGGTGCTCCGGCAAAGCCATGGGGGAAACTTACTGAGCTTGTTCTTGTTAACGAACTGAAAGACCAGGAGAACGACCTTCATTTGGACAGAAATCAGGCAACTTCACGTGGAAGGGACATCAACGTAAAACCTCCAGAGCTGGACTGATGCCCATCCCAGCCATATGCTGCAACACAGGGAGGGAGCCAGGGAGCTGTGGGGCTGCCAGCCCGAGCGTCTCCATTGCTGACCGAGGAGAAGCCACCGTTCTCCCACAAGCCCAAAAACCCCACCCAAACCTACCTTGCCCAGGGCGATGGAGCAAGCGGCCAGGCCAATGAGTCCTCCTTTCCGGCTGTGTGGGTGCTGGGAGAGTGCGAACTCCTGCGACAGGATCTGGATCACGTGTTTGATTTGGGAGGTGTTGTTCTGAGACACGAACTCTCGCACCAGCCTGGGGAGAGAAGAGGAAAGCACCCAGGGGGCTTTAGGTTCTCTCCGATACAAATGCTCGGGCACCCAGCTCCCCGCTGCTGCCAGAAACAGGGATTTTCAGCCACGACAAACGCCAGAGAAAGCAGTACCGAAATGAGGAACACCCAAGGAACCCAGAAGCGAAACCAGAGCTCTTCCTTCCTCCCCACTCACACCCAGTGGGGCTCACTGCCCTCCTGCTGCCCCCATCCTGCAGCCTCCCACGCCGTTCACAAACTCCCAGCCCAGGATGGGCTCTCAAGGGCCACCTCACCAGGGCTGCACGCTTGCAGGGAGGAAGCCACCAGGTCAACAGACAAACATCCTCTCCAAAATGTACCATTTACCCCTGACACAGCACAGGATGGCAGCACAGAACTGCTCAGCGTGCACCAGGAGCGCGGGTGGCTCGGCGGGGAATTGTTGCCCACCACTGATATAATGCAAATACAACCCAAACCTTAACAGCAACCAGACAAGGATTGTGCATGCGATACCTGCTCCTCCTCAGGAACCTGCGGCTCCTTACCCAGAGATATTTAACCCATCAGCTGCAGTTAAACGAAGGGACCTGCGACCCCGCTCCAGCCCATGCAGCCACTCCAAGGCCCTGGCTGTCCCTGCAGCCAAGCCAGCAGCCAGCTGTGCAGGCAGCAGCCAACAGCTGGAGCATTGGTGGTTCAGTGGTAGAATTCTCGCCTGCCACGCGGGAGGCCCGGGTTCGATTCCCGGCCAATGCAACTCCTAATTTTTCCTCTTTTTTTCCTTGACTTCTATCCATAATGTAGACCCAAGCATCTCAAAATCTCGGCCTATATATGATCTTTACCTTAATTTCCAACACAAGTGCAAAAGCTTCCAGTGCCTAACTCCACACGGGTTTCTTTTTAGCACTACGTTAAATCTCATGCTGCCCTCCCTAGACGGGTGTCACCAGCCAGTCATCCACTTCATAATCCAGGAAAATTGTTATACAAGATGTTTATGAACTTCTTCCCCCAAAACAATTAACGTCAGCTCTGTTCACACCCTGCTCTGAGCAAAGCAGCCACCCCCCCCTCTCCCTTGGGGCATCACACAGCCCCCCTTGGCCTCCCCACTCGATCCGCTCTCACAAACTGCTGCTTCAGGGCAAATGGCTCTGACCCTGCCCCAGCAAGCAGGAACACAACCAAACTCAAGCAGCATAGACCATCAGGGTGATCCTTTTACTGCCCGGATTTAACAAACAGGGCTCTGTTTGAACAGGAACAACTTTACAGACTTCTTTCAAGAGTTTAAAGGGCTCAAGATTTCACTAACGAGACAAAAGGCACCCAACAGCAACGCGCAGCGTCAGACACGTTACCAACCAGAGAAGAAGGAGGTAGTGGAGCTGAAAGGCAACGAGTCCCTCGCTCGATGCCACAGACACAGGAGAGACAGTGCTGTGAGGGGTTTAAGCTGATCTAAATCTGTGTCTCTGCAGAAAGGGTTGGCCCTTGCCTTCTTTCTCCTCATACCCTTCCCAAATTTGGTTTCCAGCTCGATGGGCTGAATTGGCTGATCCCAAAATCAGACTTTGGTTGGCATAAGCCAACTCCATAACCTTAGTCCTGGGGCAGAATAAGTTGGAGCAGGGCTGTTTGGATAAGCAGCATCACCCTGCGCAGCAGCAAAGGGCAGCCCTGTGGCTGGGCTTGCAAGGACGATGCAGCACATCTGCCACAACCCACCCTTAAGAAACTATACCCATGAAGAAGAGAGAAAATGAGCAAAAGATAAACACGTTGAACAGAAGAAGGGGCTCGATATATTAGCTTTGTACCCAAGCAAACAGTCACCCCATCCCAAGGACTGTTTGCTGTCAGGTACACCCTCCGTGATTGAGGCACATGGTTTCCACTCCATCCCCTGCCGAAACCTGAGCAGAGCAGCTCCCTCCCTGTGTCACTGTCTGCCATGGTTGCTCCCCTTGCAGGCTCACCCATAACTCACCCTTGGGCTCAGATCATCGCCCCCAGCCCCTACGCTGGGCTCTCCCTCGAGGGGATGCTTCAGATCTCCTCTGTGAGCTGAGCTCTCCAGCAGAGCCTGGGGAGGACGCAGCCCTTCCCAGGCAAAGTCGTGGACCAGAGCGGCAGAGAGCGCCCAGACCAGCGCAGTGAGAGCAAGATGATGTGCAGGGAACGCATGTGGGCAACGCTAGAGGGGGCACAGCGGCACCAGCCGAGCTTTGCCTGGGATGCTCGGAAAGGAAGGCCTGAGCTCCACCAAAACAGCAGCAAGGCAGGAAGGGCTAAGAGCAACAGCCAAAGGTGATGGCAGGCACTTCCCACCTCCGCAGCTGGGATCGAGCATGGGATGAGTTCAGGTGAGACCTCGGGAGAGAGGTGGGATGGCACCGCAAGGTGATGAACCCAGGCTGATGCGAGACAAGCCCTGGATGGCAGAGGCTGGTCCTGGCCCTACACGGCTGTCCTGGTCCCTGCCCGCTGCCCAGTGAGCCCCTCATGTCCCCCAGGTGCGGCCAGGGCAGGGCACAGAGCTGGACACCTGTGCGAGTGCCACAGAAAAGCAAGTGCCGCGTTTCCAACGAGCTTCTAAAGTTATGCTGCTCAGGTGTTTATTTCAGGTGGTGCTGTGTGACCGGGCTCTCTGCGAGGGGCTCGCTGGCACAGCCCCTGCCCTGGGACACAGCCCTGGGCCGGCTGGACCCCGCTGGCACCCAGCAGCTGCGGGGCTGGGAGATGAACTGCAGTGACCGGTGATGCGGGGACGGGACACACGGAGCAGCTCAGGGGGAGCCCCTCCTGCCCAG